GAAACACCAGGTTGACCGAAAAGAGAACACATCAAATCAATTACTTCATATCAAATCAATTACTTCACATCAAATCAGTTACTCACAACATCCACGCCCCACTGCCGGGAGAGCCCTGTCAATCGACGTGGCTGGGCAAGGATCACACGTCCTGGGCAAGGTGTCCCTTCCACAGGTGGAACTCTCACTAGGTCTCAGTTTCCAGCAGTTTTTATACCATCAGTAATTTTCAGAGTAAGCAATTACAGAGTTTGCAGAGCAAGCATTTAGTGCTTCCATGCACAAAATAGTTATCAGTGGCATACGTGCACTGAGACCCCTGGCTAACGTCCCAGCCCAGTAGTTGTGTACGTGCATTGTTCTCTTTGGTTATCGTCTCAGCCCAGCACAGATGGCCAGTCCATTCCGAGCTACGACGCTCCAAGAGCCTTGAAATGTTACAACTTGCAACTCTCTCCGTGGGAGAAAGGCCAGTTCCCGGGAAAAGGCCAGTTCCCACCACACAGAAAGCAGCTTTGTATTTCTTTGTGTGCTGGTGGCTATAGGTCAATGGAGCGGCCAAACATGGCTGTATTCATGTCAAGACAACAGGGAACAACCTAAGTGTCTGCCAACAGACGAATGGGTAAAGAAAATGTGGTGTATGTGAAGGGTACCTGAGGGCTACTGTAAATACTCCGTAAGAACATGGTTACCCTTTACCCTTATTCCCAACACAGCCACAGACGAAAAGAAGTTAGTACCCACGAAAAACCTAGATAAAGAACCTCAATCCCCATTATACGTATTTGTTGAGCAAATGCTTGCTTCACAGCTCACACGTCATTATAGCTTGTCAATTTGCTGTTTTCTTGTTTAACCAGAGGGGTGACTTAGTGGTCACAAGGATTATGAGCTTGTTTTGTAGAAGAAAAAGAACGCCTTTAAGGAAGTTATGACCACCAGATGACCCGACCCCGCTGCCACTGGCACCAAGAAGTCTAGTTGTTCAAGGTCTTATCTGAAGTGAAAGAAACACGGACTTCCCCTTTGTTTTCCTTAAACTCCACCTCCCAAGCCCCTTAGCCCTATAAAGTCCCCCTGCTTCCTCGTTTTGTTAAGGTGGATCTGAGAGAACCTATTCTCCTTCCTTGTTTTGGCCAACTTGAATAAACCTTTCTCTACCTCCAAGCACCAGTGTCTCAGTGATTGGCTTACTGCACATCAGGCACACGGACCTGAGATTAAGAGTTTGGTATGATATATATACTGTGAAAATTAATAAAGGTAAACCTCATTTAAAATGGAGTCAGGGGACAGCCCCATGGTGTAGTGGGTAAGTTAGGTGTGCTCCGCTTTGGTGGCCCAGGTTCACAGGTTTGGATCCCAGGCATGGACCTACACCACTACTTAGCCATGCTGTGGCAGTGACCCACATACAAAATAGAGGAAGATTGGCACAGATGTTAGCTCAGGGAATCTTCCTCACCAAAAAAAGAAAAGAAAAGAAATGCTAAAAATAAATAAATAAATAAAACGGAGTCAGGAGGCCAGAAGGGGGATCTCCCATGCAGTACCACTCTTGGTCAATTACAGGAAAGGAGAATAGTCATTACAGACCCTAACACAAGTCCTCAATACAAAAGAATCATCAATTATAGGAAGAAATGTATATTGCATCCCAAATAGAAATCGATGACCCCAGCAGCTCAGCCAATGAGCAACCATTACCACCCTGAACTCTTGCTTTTCTCAGATGGACTTTCCTTCAAAGCAACCCCTCCCAATTTCCTCCTTTTTCCCTATAAAATAACATTCTTCTCCTTTGGTTGTTGGATTTGTCTATGCTCTGCCATAGCATGCATATCCCAAACTGCAATTCTTTTGCTATTCCTGAATAAACTCATTTCGCTGGTAAAATAACTGGCTGTTTTTTTTTTTTTTAAGGAAGATCAGCCCTGAGCTAACATCCATGCTAATCCTCC